GGCCAGAATTAAACTGTTCACATCGGATGCTGGACACAATGACACTTTCCCAGTAATAGTAAGACATTAATGTGTTGTGACGTCATTCCTACAATTGCTCGCTTTTATATGTTACGTGCGTTAGATTACGCTTTCACCGCAGTGAGTGAGTAGGTTAAGAATTTTTATGGCATAATTGTGCGTATGTTTGAGACAGTTTCAATTCAAGGGTGAAAATGTTTATGTAACTTAATGTTAATATACTATTTGTTGTTTATATCTCGAGCCGTTAAAGTGACACATTTAATTAAGAAAACGTTGTTTAACACATTAAAGCTTGTGAGGCTTCAACAGTTTTCTATTGACAGTCATAGCTTTAACTTATTAGGAATTCTGAGATAACAAAAATAACTAGCTTCTATAATAAGTATTGAAACTAAACCAGAGTATATAAAGGAAGAAAAGAAACTAAAAAATACGCTCCTTTAAACTCGTCCGTGTCGCTGTCATCGGGGAACGTTCCCAGAAGACTGGCAGCATTGCCACATTGTATGGCAATGCTTATTTTCTGAAGAAGAAATGAGATAACATGTTTAATAGGTGATTGAGTACAACAAGTTACAAGGAGGAAATTCAAGAACTACAACATTGATTTACATCTGAGCTGGCATTTAGTTCTCTAATTTACATAAGTACACTATATCATCAACAGCCTATAAAAGCCCACTGCTGAGCAAAGCCTCTTCTCACACGGTAAAGGTTTGAGCATTAATCACCACGCTTGCTCAATGCGGGTTGGCGATTACAAACTTATAATTAGAAATTATAAGCCCAGGTGTCCTCACGATGTTTTCCTTCACCGTTTGTCAGTGGTGTCTAAATAATCTTAGAAAGTACATATAAGTCGGAAAAAGTCACATTGGTACTTGCCGTTGGTAGGTTTCGAACATGTCCCCTCATGCATGAGAAGCGGGCGTCTTAAACCTCCAGGCCACCACGACAGTACATTATAACACCAATTTAAATATAGGTACAGTATGAGCCCATCCTAAACCAAAAATTAGGCCAGATCCTAACTTAACCAATTAAGTAAACCCTTTTTCGGATCGAAGTAATTTTTGTTAGTTCGTGAGAAACATTTATCATTTACCTAATACGTATACAGTTAGATCTAATTGAGCTGTGGTGACGAGTGATTGGAGACTTCAAGTCATGTGGAAATACCTCGCTAGTTGATTAATTTAATATGTTCTTAACAGAGCTGTTAATTTCGAGCGTAATTACAGGACATTCAAGTGTGGGAGGGCCATGCTTCGGTGCGAATAGGCTGGTTTGACTGGGGTAATACCATGGCCGAGCAGAAACCGACGTGGAACAACGCTTTCGTTGTGTTTCGTCGTGTGAGTGAGGTTATCCGAAATTCAATTACAACCTTCCCCTATCCCCAATTCCTTCAATCCCTGAACTCCAACAATCTTCAAATTCCTAATGCTCAAAAGACCGGTAACGCATTTGTAACGCCTTTGGTGTTCTGAGTGTCCATAGGCGGCGCCGATTGCTTATTATCAGGTGATTCATCTGCTCGTTTTCCGGCTTATTTGATAAAAAAAAACTTAATTATTAACCATGGGTTAACGTTATTTTTATCTGCCTGAACAAGAAGAGTATGACCAAACATCTTGCCATCTCTCTGTTCTGTTCCCAATAGGAATGTCCACTGCACATATTAAAGCCATATTACATTTATTGTACCCAACTTTTCATAAAAAAAAAATGCGAATATTACTTTGCCAGACCCGGCAATTGATCCGAAGACCTTTACTCATTAGTCGTCAGTCCGTCAGACCTACTCACACCCAATACACTCTTACTTCTCAATAGAAGGTACTTGAAACAACTTGACTATGAGACACATGCAAAAAATTGAAGAAATAAACATTAGAACAGTGTCAGTCAGGCAGTCAGACAGTCAGTATCAGTTTTCCCTGCGTCATGGCCGCCCTAGCACTCAGCGCGTGGCATGCGGCCGCGTTTTGTAATTACATATTTAGTAATTACACCGCTATGCAGTTACAGCCATTGTATCATGTTGTTTGTTACTGTTATTGGATTACTGTATGACTGGGTTACTGTGTGGTATTTCATTAACAGCCCATTTCTTTATTATAGTACTGGACATAAGTTTTTCCCATTATTGATTACCGGGTCGGTCGGTAAACAAAAAAATTCAGTAGTAGCGGAGTCTCTAATTGTGTCCGGTATATGGCAATAGGCTCACCCCCTATTACATGGGACTCATAAATAATAGTGAAAAGTGGGTGTTACATTGTACAGTGGCATTAAGTGTCGTAATGTGCACCTCTGCCTACCCTTCCGAGGGTAAAAGACGTGGTGTTGTGTTATGTGCAGAGTTGGTCAATAATTTCCTTTCTTCTTTTTCTTTTTTCAATAACTTTGGGGATGTGGTTACTTCATCTGGAAGGTGCAACTATGCTAGTTATACCTCGAAAGATTGAACGGTTCCTCGAGTTATGACACCTCCGTAAACAGCTGAGGAAATCTATGACGTTCTATTTATGATGGTATAGCAGGAGGCAAACTTAGTAACAAACACAGGACATGATAACATTTTTGAAATCCTACCACTAGAACCCTCACTCGATTTAGTGATTAAATCTGAGATCTAAGATTTCAACCTTTGTGATGTCAGCGGTAGCTGGCAACTAATTTTCTTCCTTACATTTTTAAACAAAAGACAACAAAATATTTATCGACAGAATTTGTTATCAAACAACCATAATATTTTGTATCATAAATAAATTCATCGAAGAAACTAGTTAACGACAATATCTGCGTGTGGGCATTATATAATACGGGTTGAACGTCCGATGAGCTGACCTCAGCTGTGGGTCATTATCGCTGCGAAGGGCCCTACACCGGTCATTATGTTATATACAGAGTTATTATTTCATGATAATCTTTATATATTATATTTCTTCTGTGAGTGTGTATGTCACTGAACTTCTCTCAAACGACTGGACCGATTTTGTTGAAACTTTTTGTGTGTGTTCAAAGGGATCTGGGAATGGTTTAGATTCACAAATCAGCCCGGCAGATGGCGCTGCAGTCGATGTCTTGGTTATTTAAAACTTAATATCTTGAAATATGGCAATAATATGCAGGACAACGTCTGTCGGGTCCGCTAGTTATAGTTAATTATTTCAGTTTATAAATTAAGTAGGTATATCGCTCTTTGAAGAGCCCTTTGTGGTGCACCTTTATAAAAATGAGGTTATTTTTCATTTACACTTTGGGTGCAATGGAGACAGTATGACCCTTGAGGTAGGACATTTTGTGTTAGATCTCCTGGTCGGGAAATGTATTTGAGTTTTGTTATTCAGGGATTCAGATATAATCTGATAACTATAATGGGTCACCAGTCCAAACGCAGTGCGTCAGAACCTTCCACATTCTATTCTACAGTGTTATTTTAATTTGATGGAGGCGTTTGATGTGGAAAGCATGTTGCTAAAGATTTGTACATTCCGGAGTAGGTAATACGGATGCATGGTTGAATGAGTGGCAGTTACCACAACTAAGTATGCTTTATTGTATTGGTATTCAGGGCAAATTTCTAGACTCGTTGCAGACTTTTAGAAGTAAGTGCATAGAAGTGTCTGGAGGCATTCTACTTTCAATATTTTAGTCTCATGAAAAAAATTACCTATAGTCGCACAGTGACTACATTTATTCATCATCATTAAATAACAACCTATAACAGTCCACCGCTCGATTACGAGCTCGATCTCTGTCAAATATGTAGTTCCCTAGTCGGTAGCCGGCTCTAACGAAATCCGCGAGAACAGTATGGTGGTGACAAATGTATTTTAAGCAATGATCCCTGCCACACGGAGATTACATAAAAATTTTGAAAAGAAAATTTAATTAACACTTTATACAAGGGAAAAAATCAAACGAATTGTTGATAATACTCCATTTTCGTCTAGTGGATCCCACTGATAACCTTGTAAAAAGTCCTCAAAATCTGTTAACTTACAATTATAACAATATCTACATCTTAACAAGTCTAGAGCTGCAATACCTTGCTTAATATTAATTAATTCGACCACAACACGAGTGATTAGTCATATACATATTAATGGTATAGTCTAGAACATAGTAGAGCCTCATTAATTTGGATTTCAGTTTAGTGTGTGTCGAAACTTTTGTGATGGATTGTACGAAGCTCGGCCTTGAAAGCAAATGTCGTTGCTCTGTTTTGTAATGTAGGAAGCTGTGTTTTTGTAAACATGTATCTCTCTAAATTGAATACATATAACTAAATCACTACATAGTATAAAACAAAGTCGTTATCCTCCATCCGTCTGTCCCTATGTATGCTTAGATCTTTAAAACTACGAAACGGATTTTGAAACGGTTTGTTTTAATAGACAGAGTGATTTTAAAGGAAGGTTTATATGTATATTGCACCCGTGCGAACCCGGGGTGTGTCGATATTTGAATATAAAGAACATTGAAAAGTTTTTGTCGATAGACATATATCACAATGACTTCTACGTTATATTTTTGATTAGAATCCGAATTTCAACCCCAAGTAGCGTGATATAAAAGCATGATACAAAATAATCTTTGTGTCCTTCCACACAAAGATTATTTTTTGAAAATGAAAGTGGTTAGATTACCACGCTCCATCAAATAGCCTGAAATTCTTGACTACTGACAACAGTAGTATAATCTTCTGATTCACTTCGTTGCCAACCAAGACAGTTACTCATGTCCCTGGGACGCGCCGGACGTTGTGACGTGATCCGGTGTTTTCATGGTTGTATCTACTGTAGATCCTGGCTTACAGGAGTTGCAGCGGTTTTGGGAGGTTGTGGCGGGCTTGTCCCATTAAAAAAAAACAGTAGTATAAAAATCAGATCAAAAAACAAATTACTGCAACGTCAAAGACCAACAAAGATTTTACACAATTTCACTTCTAACATCTCTGTCTCTCTATTACAGGTTATGTGCGTACTGCTGAGTGTGGGGCTGGTGGCAGGAGCTCGTCCCAGGCCGCGGCTGCAGCAGCCCATCCAGGATGAATACGACTACGAACCGCAAGCTCAGGACCGCGCCGCTGGAGACCAGGTATATGCTCAACCAAATAATCCACTTCAAACATTATTTCTTTGCTACGCTACACTGTAGAAAACCACTGATATAGTGTTGAGAATAAAAAAATGAGTTATTTCCAAGGATTTAAACAATCCCGTTTAGTAGATAGGACTATATGTATGTGTACATGGATAAAAACATAGTTATGATTCGTTACAATACGAGTAATGAACATATAGGCAATTAAGTTATGCACAAGAAAGATAGTAAGCCGACTTTGTTGAAAAACATAACATCACGCCTTTTATCCCCGAACGGGTAGGCAGAGGTGCACATTAAGCCACTGTACAATGTAACACCCACTTTTCACTATTTATGTTATGAGTCCCATGTAATAGGGAGTGAGCCTATTGCCATATACCGGGCACAATTCCAGACTCCGTGCTAGTACTGAGATTTTTTTAAAAACCCAGTAATACTTTGCCCGACCCGGGAATCGAACCCGAGATCCCTTGCCCGGCAGTCGCGCTTGCGACCACTCGGCCAACGAGGTTTGTTGGAAAACTATTTATTAATTTTTCACTCAATTGTTTCCAGGTGGTGCTAGTAGCTGCGGATTCTTACGACGGTTTGTACCGCGCCGCGGACAGACTGGACGACGAGTACGAGCCCCGCGCCCTGCCGCGTCATCAACCCAGGCTGAAGCAGCAGCAGCAGATCCAGGAAGGACCCAAGCAGCCGCCCGTACAGACCATCAGGAACTACAACAAGGTACAGACCAGATTTTAACGTCTGAAGGAAAATTAACAATTTTAGTCCTATAAGAATGAATATTGATGCAATATTATCATTTTTCCAGGTTAATGACGATGGTAGTTTCACATTCGGCTACGAGGCTGCTGATGGATCTTTTAAAGAAGAAACCCGTGGAACTGACTGCGTTGTGCGCGGCAAATACGGATACGTCGACCCCGACGGCAACAAACGAGAGTTCACCTACGTGTCGGGCAACCCTTGCGACCCCAACAAACCTGATGAGGAAGAACCAGAGGCCGCAGCTCCTGACTCTGCAGAAAGAGATGACCCCGAACCCAACTACCCCAGACGACCAATTGCGGCTCCCAGGCCAACGACCCCACGACCCCCTACGACCTTCTTCCAGAACGACTTCCAAGACGCTGATGAAGACGAAGTTGAAGAGGAGCCCCTGCAGCATATCAGACAGAGAGTGGTTCAACGCCCACAGCCCGCGAGGAGACCTGCCTACCAAGCTCAGCCTATTGCTATCACTCCCCGCCCTGTGCAAGTCACAACACCTAGAACTCTGCCCCCAGCGACCACGTTCAGGCCACAGCTCGTCCAAGTGACCGCCAAACCTCAAATCCAATACAGCCCACAACCCAACTACTCACCTTCTCCCGCTCCCGCTGTAATTACCACCGCCAGCCCCTCCAGGCCGAGCCAGATTGACTTCGCTGCCGAATTTGCCAAATTCCACCGTGAGAACCAACAACTGCAATCGACTACATCTGCTGGCGCCAGTCCCACAAAGGCCACTTCTCTTGCCTCACCATCTCCTAGTGGCAACCCTCTGTATTCTACCGAGCTGGTATATGATCCCTCAAGCGGCTCTTACAACACTCAACTGTATCAGAGCTTACCTCAAACTAAGGGAGAACTGAACTTGAACCAGAGACTGCAGCCCTACGTGGCCACCCAGCAGCAGCAGCCGAGGCCGTTCGTGCCCTCTCCCCAGATCCCGTCAGTCCCTACAGCTGCTGCTCCCAGCGGGCCTCTTTTCAGACACCAGATTCAGAACCCACAGCAAGTGTACCAGAGGCAGCAGGCTGAGAACCAGTTCCAGAACTCGCAGCAGTTGTTCGCTCAGCAACAGCAGCTGCAGCAGAGTCAACTGCAGAGAGACCGTGCGGCCGCGCGGGCGCAGGCTCAGAGACTACAGATAGCGTCACAAGTACAGGAGGGTGCCCCCGGACAGTTCTACTACGTGGCGCCCCGCGGGGAGTCCGCGTCCTCGGGACAGATCGACGCCTTCCTCAGAGGGCACGGCATCCAGTTTTAGTCTCTAGACCTAAGTTAGCTGAGCTAGTAAATCGCTATCGACCAGTCAGCAACAGTCTCTCCCGTAAGGCCATAAAGCAATGTACAAGTCTCGGATTGGTCGCATAGCATAGTAGAGTGCGAGTGTGTATGTCTATATCTAGTGTCTATGGACGGACAGTGGCGGTCCCGTGTACATAATACGCTGTGTCTAATCAGTACCTTAATGTAATTCTAGAAAATAGTGATTTAAGTATAAAATAAAATTGTAACGTATGGAATGTGTTTCGTGCGTGACAGTCCCCGACGCGCGTTGATGTATAAACTTACAAATGATCATTTGTAATATTTTGTTTTAATAATAAATTATATTTTTATAATATTGTGTGTTCTGCCTTTATTTAAACCCTATAATTAGGAACAGACTAATAAATATCTCACTGCACTTATATGTAAAGATGAAACATATAGAATGTACAGACGATAAGTAGGTATGTAATTAAGTGACTTACGATTTTAATGACGTCATTCTAATTTAAATGTAATCTTCCGAGACAAAACAACTTCATCCTTTTTCATCTAAAGGTCTTTTGTCTTATTTATGTCATAACGATCATGTTTTCATACATTGATAACTTTACAAAGTCTCCAACCATTGACTTCAATAGATATTAGACTATGGGTACCTGGTGAAATATGAACATAATATCATCTAGGTAGGCTGCGCGACACCGCCGCGACGTCGCACGCTGCTCATGAGGAAGAACCCTTCTGTGATTCGAACTAGTAGAGCTTTTCTTAGTATATTCACGTGAGTAACCCGCGATTTTTAGTTAATTTAGTGTGTCTCACGATAGTTATTATAAAAACATAATATCATCTATTTATTTATATCTCCAATTGAACAGCAAAAAGTGATGAAAAATGTAAAAAAGACACAAAAATTAAGTTGAGATTGATATTTTCTATATAAAATACCATTTGTTATGTAGAAAATGAATTAAGACACATGAATATTTAAGTTAAATATAAATAATAACCGCTCTACATATTATCGTGAACTTAAACTTTCTACCAAGGGCTGTTAAGTAGAAAACTATGTAACTTAAGATAAATAGTAATTACCTCACCCAAGAATGAACACCCACCATAACATTACATAACCATTACCAGATCACCACGGTACCCACGACAGGAGACTGCTAAGTCAATAATTAACTTGCTCATAATTTACTAGTTCGTTGCGCCTGCGCAGTTTCCGCATTTTTATTGGAGAAATCCGATAATAGTCAAATGAGTTGCCACTTTCATATTTCTGGGAAATGCTTTTCTATTTATGTGTGTAGTTAATTATTTTTATAAAGTTATCAGATACTTGCAAAGTTTTAAATAGTTCTAGTAAAATTATTTCTTTGAGCAAGAAGCAAAAAGCAATTGGGTACTTTCCTTAATCAAAAATAAATTATTTTGACTGTTCAATACAACCAAATAAGCACACTTTCATTGATTGGTTTTATAACCAACCTAACTTTAGTATTTTCCAGCAAATTTTTAAGAAATAAGTCTATTTGACGCTAAAAAAATGTGACGTCACAATACACAATCTTGTACAAAATTCATAGTAAAATTTCGTTTTTGACAGTTCGAAAGACTATCATTTGCGATTTCGTCCACGTAGAATATGATTCCCGTTTTATCCCATGGGAACATATAATCTGGGTATCCTATCACCTAATTCCGTCCATACCCTGCCTGTATAGTACCTATACCAAATTTCATCAAACCCGTTCAGTAATTTCAGTGTGATTGACAGACAGACATCCAAACAAAGTTTAATATTAGTGTGATGAGTACAAATATGTTTTAAGATCATATTCGAGCTACAATAAATACCTATTTTTATTTCACGGCCTTGCTGGTCGTAATTTTTTTTATGGCATAAACCGTTAAACGAGCAGACGGATCATCTAATGGTAAGCAATCGACGTCGCCCATGGACACCTGGAACACCAGAGGCGTTAAAAGTGCGTTACCGGCCTTTTGGGGATTAGGAGTACGAGGATTCAGGGATTGGGGAGATTGGGGAAGGGAAGGGTAATTGGGCCTCCGGTAACCTCGTTCGTCCGGTTCCGTCGTGTGAGTGAGGCTCACACGACGGAACACAACGCAAGCGTTGCTTCACGTCGGTTTTCTGCTCGGCCGTGGTATCATTCAAGTCGAGCCGGCCCATTCGTGACGAAGCATGGCTCTCCCACACTTTTTACATTTGCAAACAAACTGCTTCTGCTACATGCTACGTCAACACACTGTTGCAAGGGATGGCCTATTCGAATAAAGTATAAGTGTAATATATATGCTTAAGTATCAATTATCGACCGAAGCTTTCTAAAATCTGTCATGGAGAGACTATCCAAAAGTTCCACTGATAAGAGAAAATTCCTAAGTCCTGTCCATTTCACAGTATTTCATATTTTTCACCTGATCCCTTTTGCCTAGTTATAACTTCGCTGAATATTTGTTTTCTAATTACCTTTTTTGATTGGGGATCGGGGACATTGGGTTTGGGGACATTTTTATTGTAAGACACTTAAAAAAAATTAACATGATTTTATTAAGTATCGTACCTTTGTTTATATTAAAACTTTCTTGAGACATACTAATTACATATTATTTTTTCGGATTACTCACTGTTTGACGAGGAACTCGACATTTCGATTATTGTACCTTTGCACAGGTTGCCTACTCTGCTTACCTCTTCGAGTGTAAACAGGCACCAGTGTCATATTTATTATCGATTAAATTTCAGCGACATCTAACGAAGCCGCATGCAAACAATAGTACCACACAAACATTGACTACTTGACGTATTTTATAGTAACTGGCATTGTATAGAAACTTTCTATTTTATTTTATTCTCGCCTTTATAACTAGATGGCGTTGTTCTCTTAGGAGTACGGCAGTTGGATGAATAGCGTTGTAGAACGCTTCGTAACTTTAAACAACTCACCCAGGCGGGAGAAGTTATTCGATGATTTTCACCCCTTAAAAAATTATAATATGGCTATTCGCGGGTTTGACTCTCTCGCAAAATTTTATTATTTAAGTGACAAATCATAGATCTGGGTGTGAAGCATCGACTCATGTACAGCCATACAGGAGCTAGTTTATTCGTTCTTAGTGAGGAAGTGTGTCAGATTTGTATTTATTTAATTGCACTACTGTATGTATAGTCCTCCTTATCGATTTCGGTAACGGCGGGTTTATCAGCTATCTCCCGTCGTGTGGCCTGATGTGACTGGCCAGACCGAATTTAGGTTTGAAAATCCGATCACAACTAGAGCAGTAAAGCTGGTCGGCAGAGTTGTACGTGTAAGTCTATACTTAGTAGCTATAGCTATCTACTATGATACTAAGGAAAGGTGTTAACCTATAGCAAAGATATATAATAGTTAAGTTTTATTACTGCGCAAGCGCGCCTGGCACACAGAATATTTGTTATCGACTGTACGGTTGGCGCAGTGAGTGGGCAACTGGCTACCGTGCAAAGTGTAGCGGACTCGATTCCTGCGGAGTAATTCTTTGTCCGATCCACAAATTGTCGGTTCGGGTCTAGGTGTCATGTGCATGTGAAATTGTATGTTTGTAAACGCACCCACGTCACAGGAGAAAATCCTAGTGTGGGGCAAAGGTATTTTAAAGGTATTTTCTTCAAATCTCCAATTTGGAAACGTTAACGTCCTCGCGGTTTTGTCCATATAGGCAACATATTTACAAACCATATTTTAAAACCCTTCACCATGAGGTATACCTGCAACAATTCCGTGGGAACCCTCATCTGTGCACACAATCACATGTAACCACAATCGTCATTGTAACTCAGATATATTATTTGCTTTAATAACTTCTTAATGTACTTATAATCATATTTTACTTTAGCTCATTTTCATTGTTAAAATCTAATTTTAATTTAATGTCACAAATATAATCACCAAATGTTCGAGAAAGTGTCTCAAATATGTGGTGATTATTTAGCTTACTGTGGTGAATTTTACAATCAAACCTCGTTAGTCAAGTGAATGTTATCATGTCCTCATGTCAGGCAAAGCAAAATTATTTGAAAATTATGCCCAATACATAATAGGTAATACCTATGTACCTAATAATCTTGGCTTCCTTGGTAAAGCGAGTCACATAGAAATAAGGCAAACTTTAAAGTAAAGACACCGTCGTTGTGTCCTGCTGCTATATGCTGTACAATCTTGGACACAGAGCTCTTCCAGTACCGTCGAGACTATTTGGTATTTAGTCTTTCAAATCCAATTTAGTCCTCTGCGGCGTCTGAAGTCGTCTACCAGTCTTTTGAGTGGATGGCCCTGCAGTCTAACCACGAACCATTGATCATCCTGTTCTTATCTAATTCATAGATATAAATGTAATTAATAAATAACAAAGAAAGAATATAAAATGTACCTACAACTAATGGGAATGTTTAGATGGATCACCCGTCAGTCTGTCAGTTTGTATCGCAAGGTGAATGTATCAATTAGCCTTACAATAGAAGCCAGAATATATCTGGCTATAAATGCCAGTGGACCAGTGGGTAAATGGCAATGCTGTTATACGCTGAATATTGTATTTATTACGTAAAGATAATAATTTGCATGTTTTCTTTAGGTATATTATGAGGATGAGATTAGATACTGTTAAATAGATAAAACAATAAAATAAATATATTAGTTACAATTATGTCCCTAGATAGTAAAATTACTACTGCTACATCTAAAAATTTACTACAATATGGCAAGATATGAGTTTTCATTCATCTATTTCGTATCTAGAGGCAATCTGAAAATCCTTCAATGTTGATACACTCCACTATGGTAGTAATTAACATTGGCATGACCTAAAACCGCAACTTGTTATTACGAATTTGACTTTGACTACGGTGGGAGCAGACAGTCAAACAGACCGCCTCCATCTCAGCATACCACACACAGACACAATCGAACAATTAAAATAACA